TTTTTTTTCTTAAGCGTTGTAGCTATATTATATATAAAAGCAAATGATGCTACTAATCTTCAGATTTCCTGCTATGTTTTAAAAAACTTTATTTGTGAAAACCTTTAGCGTGGCGGACAGCTGGCCGCCTTAGGTGGCTAGTGGCTAATAAACTTATTATACAATAATGTAAATCACATCTTTTGAAGCATTTCTCAAAATATGATAAACCCTTATGGCTCATTTCTAAAGTTTAAAACGAGGTTTATTTCTAAAATGAAGAAATATTTTAAGAAACAACCGTGAAATAAAGTAATTTTCTGAACATTATGAAATATTATCGATTGGCGACTGACATTCAGTCGCTCTGTGGCGGGCCACGACCAGTAATTTTGCTCTTTAATACCAAACATTTATGTCGTAAAAACTGTCCATTTAAGTGGTATATACATATTCGTATCGCGTCCATTAACAGTGGTCACTCATGGACCAGGGTGTATAGGATGTTGAGGATCATGAACATCGATGATGACCATGCATCAAATAAAAGGATCATAAGCATCAGATGAGGATTAATAGTGACAATACGGAAAACTGTTTCATGCACTTTTTTAAAAAACGATAAAAACAGTTGGTTTTATAGACTCAATTTACGACAGGTTGTTTATAAGTTTTCTTTAGGTTATTCTTGGGGTTATTTTAATAAATGTGTTCCGTTGTCTAAGCTCTCCCATCTTTTTCAAGAATCATGTAACGTTCATACAGTTAAAATTGGTAAAAATATATTTCGAGCTGCCCCTTGGCGAAAATTGGAAATTTTTGGAGCCAATTGTTATTCCTTCATTTATACACGAGTTAAACAATGCTATTTTTTGTCTATTTGCTCCATATCGAACAGAAACTTTAGATAAATCTTACTCTTAGCCGCAATGGCTCAGGGGATAGAGCTTTTTAAGGTTACTTTTGCTTCTGGTACTATAACTGAATACTGTCAATAAGATAAATCTTAAGTTTCTGTACGATTTGAATAACAATGGAAAAAAAGCAGTGATTGACTGGTGTGTGAATGAAGGTTTAATTAGCAATAGATTTAAATGTCCAGCTTGTGGGTTACCACGGCGTTCCGGGCAAACAAGTATGGCGCCAAAAATAAGTCGCCAATTTCGCCCAGGGGCACCCTCAAGTATATTTTTCCCCCGTTGTCTAAGTTCTTCCATCTTTTTCAAGAATCATGCGACTCAATAACGTTCATACAGTTAAAATTGGTAAAAATATATTGCGAACTGCCCCTTGGCGAAAATTGGAAATTTTTGGAGCCAATTGTTATTCCTTCATTTATACACGAGTTAAACAATGCTATTTTTTGTCTATTTGCCCCATATCGAACAGAAACTTTAGATTAATCTTACTCTTAGCCGCAATGGCTCAGGGGATAGAGCGTTCGCCTTCCAATGAGGCGAACCGAGTTCGAATCCCAGTCGTTACGAATTCCGCATCCGGCTTGCACCAACTACAATGCTGACGTGAAATATCCTCAGTGGTAGACGGATCACGGGTTAGAGTCCCCTTGCCGTCAGGCTAACCGTGGGAGGTTCTCGTGGTCTTCCTCTCCATGTAATGCAAATGCGGGTTAGTTCAATCAAAAAGTCCTCCACGAAGGCAAATTTTTCCCAATACTCGATCCAGGAGCTCCCTTGTCTTCTGGATTGGGTTCAAAATGACAAGGCTACGGAGTTGAACATTAGTAGTCGTAAACCCATAAAATTGGATCGTCAGTTCAACGACGGTTATTAAAAAAAATTTTTAAAAATCTTACCCTTACCACCAGCAGCTATTTCGTGGCAAAATAATAAAAAATATGCCAACGGCCTTCTTAATCGACATGCATTGCAGAAATAATAAGCCATGAGAAATGTTCTTTCAATATTCAAAATCAGCACTATCACACATACCAAACACGGTCAAAACAGGGTTTCCGATATCATAATGAGATCTTATAAAATGCTCGGGTTATTATAAATGAAACAGCATCGCTCGTATTTCTGACCCATTTGGCGATAATCTAAAGAGAAACCTCGACATAAACCTTGAAATATTTCAAAATGCAACAATTTGCGTTTGATATTTGCAGGGCGTTCTCTATTTGCGGCGCAGTATGTACCTTTGCAACAAACGATGGAGTTAAAGTGGTGAGTCAGAATGGCTGCGATCTTTACAGAAGTAAGTTCTTCTTCGAAATATAGCAACAGTTTAATTTTTGTTCTCTTCTGGAATACAACGTGTGTTCTCATTTTTCTTCTCTCTGTCTACAGGATTTGACAATGACACTTTCTTGCAATCCAAAGAACTGATTGTGCAGAATATGCGGCGGGAAGTGGAAACCAGAGAATTGAAGTTGGTACTGACTGGTTTAGGAGAAGGAATTGTGAGTTAATTTAAGTTTAAGTTAATAAAGCTTAAATTAAGAAATACTTACTAGAATCGTGTTGGCTCAGGAGACAGAGAGCTTGCCTCCCAATGAGGTGAATTGGGATCGAATCCCACAAGTTTCCGGTCATTTATTTATTTATCTATTCATTCTTTTATTTAGTCACATATTCATCTATTTGTTTATTTATCTAGTCATTTATTTATGTATTTACTTATTTATCTATTCATTTACTTATCTATTTACTTATCTATCTAGTAATTTGTTTACCTATTTGTTTATTTATCTAGTCATTTATTTATCTATTTATTTTAGCTCGCTTTATGAAAAAAAGCTTTGAACGTATTTTGTGTTTTCCTTTGTTTAATAATTCAAAGAAAATGTAAATAACTTCGGATATTCTATTTATCATATTGTTAACCTAAAATCATAACTCCTTTATAAGATTTTGATATACGTTTCATTCAGTAATAGCTGTACTAAAAAACACTGTTCGAATTGATTACATTCATAAATAATATTACTTATTTCTCCTTTTGTTATAATATATTTTAAAAAATAAATTAATCAATTATTTATTTCAAACTGCAAAGTGATAGGATGGATTTATTTTCATGCAAACAATCTAAAAATTAGTTATTTTAATCAAAATTAGAATAAAAAAAACAACATTAATCAACATCATTATTCATTAGGTATAATTTAAGCAACTTAAAGAAGAAACTAAAAATCGCATTTTTTTTATTGATTATTTATCTTTTTTATAATTATTGTTTTATTTATTTCCTAATTTATTTTTTTAATGAAGTGACGTTAAAAGTTTTTGGCTTTCGAAGTACGCATTGTTGATTCATAAAAAGTTGGAAACCCATGCTCTAAAGTTATGTAAAATGATAATAAACTGATTATTTTTTCAGATCCAATTGGATGCTTTTTCAATTGAAGTGACTGAACCGGGTGAAGATGATCGTCTAATAAACCGAATCGGAAGTAAGTTTTCCTTTTTTAACACATGCAAGATGTACCGTGGTTACCACTCTTAACACGTATTTCTTAAATCCTTGTTAAATTCGAAGTACAATATAAAAATCATGTAAATTCGTAGTCACAAATTAACATTTAGTGAATATTGCAATAAAACTTACTACTTTCTTTCTGTTGAGTTGGTTGATAAATCATCGGACTACTAAATCAAAGGGCGGGAGTTCGAACCCCGTCCACAGCAAGTTTCCTAAAAGTGGTTTTTGTCAAAAAATTCATTATAATTCACTGTCATTCTTTCGTTATAATGTTAATTATTCAATTTCTAGAGTTCAGATTCTGGAATGCTCTGTTCGAGAAAGTTCGACACATGTGTTAAGCTCACGTAGTTCAGTTGAATATCATCTCAAGTTTAGATTAATACACTTTGTGTTCCTTCGCTTTTAATAATTCCACACTTATCTACTTAACAATTTTAAATAATTGAGATATTTCGCAAATTTGCTTGAGCATCCTTACGCTCTCGTATGTAAGACTTCAAGTAATGCGCACTTTTAGTGCGCATGCGTCAGTTCTGGTGAAATGCGAATGCGCTCGTAAAAAAATATCAAACTTAGGTACAGGAAAATAAGAGATTTTGCAAAAATCAGTAAGTTAAAAGCGCTTACGTAGAGGAATATCATTCGGCCACAAAATCAAAACAAACATTTTCAATGGACGAAGATTATCTCTTCACCGCTGTGGCGTCCCGCAGTGGACTGATCGTTAAGACACGGTTCCCAGCAGTCAAGCATCACTGGCTGCTGCCAGTGTGCGGGTGGGTGACCACTTGGATTAGTCTGCGTAGGGACCGAGGGTTTTCGGTATGGGTCCTCATTAAACTGTTCTACCGTAAAGTGCTCGACTTCGCGTACAGGTCGTCGGGCTACCGAAGTAGGGGTGCCATCCCCTCTGCAGAGGATCAAAATTGTGATGCCATGTCTTCGGATCATCCTCAGGGATGTTTCCCAGACCGTCACCAATAGCCCATTGTGCTGCTCTAGTGCGACGTAAGTTAACAACAACACAGCTGTGGCATACGATTCAAGATGCTTTATTCTTGAATTGTATGATACTGCGGTTTTGTAAGCAGAAAAATTTGGTAGATTATAGATTTTGACGAATTCAGCGATTGCAGTTTATTATTAGTACTATTGATAACAATATTATTATTATTATTTATTATTATTATTTATTATTAATAATATATAATTAAAAAATATTATTGCAGTTTTATTGATTACTTAACTTCTTTTAACTAAAGTGCATAGTTAATAGATATAAATATAATTTATAATTTTAAAATAGCGAAAATATCTTTAGTTTCTTATGGAACTAGTGGAATTAGACTACCATGAAACCAATAAAATTTGTTTTTTTATTGAATGAACCGGTTGTTGTAAGATCACAAGATTCGTTTCTAAATTCCATTCATACATTTCTATAAATTCGCATTCCATATCCACGTTTTTAGTTTGAAGGTAGGCTAAAACTTCAAAAAAACAACATTTAACAGTTATAAACACCGTACTTGTAGCTTTGTCTTTTTCATGCAAATCACGCCAGCATAACGTAAAGATACGTAGCATCTGAAATAAACGCGAGTATGCGATTGTTTTAACCTTACGTACGAGAGCGTACGGAAGCTAACGTAAGAGTGCGATTAGGTAACGTACGTCATCTACGTACGTAACCTAATCAATTACGTCAAAAGTTAAAATCATAAATTTTTTTAAAATGCTATATCGAAGTTTTGTGAAGATTTTTATATGCTTATTTGAATGCATATAAAAAAAACTTTAAAAAAAAGAAGAGTTTAAAAAAAAGAAGAGTTTAAAAAATGCTAATCCTCACCTAACCTCAAAATTTGTTATGTAATGTGTTTTCATTTCAAGATAAACCCAACCCGAGAATGCGAGTGGTGAAAGCTGGTGCGAAATTGAAAGCAACTGCTGGAAAACCTGTGAAGAACCTCGGAAATTTGGGTTTTGATGAGTGCCAAAGAGTGTGCCTGGACTTCAAAGATTGTGAGACCGCCTCTTATTGCGTGAATGGTGGAGAGTGCATTGTATCCTCTGATTTCGGAGAAGACATCGCCAAAGACAATATGGAAGATAACAATTTATGCATCATTGTGACTCGTGAGTATTTTATCTCTTTTGGCGACGAGATAATACTTAAATAGATAGAAAGTTTTTAACTTAAATTACTTTCTAGGAGTACAACCGATTCTTGACAGTATTTTGGGGGGCTGTTCTTTTTTAAGTGCTTTACACCTGAGGCAAACCTATAGTTTTGAACTATACATACCATTTGGACCTTAAAACTGTCATATGACTTCATTAAACTTTCTTAAAAATTAACAATTGGGTATTCGCACTTCAAGAAGAAGAAGATCATAGATACCCACACATGTAACATATGACGTCAGGCGCCACTGATCGCTTATAAGCAAGATGGTGTGTTAAAGTTAAGTTTCTTCTCATAAGTTAGAATGTAAATTAACGCGAAGTGAATTAAATGCAGCGTCGTATCGGGCATCAAATTTGTTGAAATATTATTCTTGCTTGTCTACGTCTTTAACTTAACTCAGATTTATTGTCTGTTTATGTATTTTATTATAACCGTAATATATCGTTTTGCGTACCTGGCAACTTCTACTTAGGTTCGAGCCTGTCTTTGTGCTAAGTAAGAAATATAAAGTGAAAGAATTGAAATCTTTAATATAGAATGTGTAATCTTTAATATGGAGTGAATGAAATCTTTAGTATAGAATATAGAATGTGCAAATAAAACGAATTGATACTTGGTGGGTTTGGCTTATTCACATTCGAATGGAAAGAACAATTGCTAACGTGAATAAATACCACGTTTCAACAACCAATCAAGATCAAAATATCCACCCTACGTCACTTGCAGGTATCCCATTGACGTGATTTTTTTTCCATCTAGATAAAACTTATCAAAATCAATGAATAATTCTAAATTTTTTGAAGCCTAGATAGTAGAGTGTTGGAGTAACTTTTAAAATATTTCAAAATTAGATAGAAATTTTTTTTCTATTTTCACAAAACTGTTGAGTTTCATTCTGTTGATGTTTTTCGCCATTTTTAGAATTAGCATAGAGGGCGCTGGTGAAACATAGGCGAAACTGGACCTAACTGTCATGAATAAGAAAAGCAAATCCACAGCAGTTAGTAAAATAATGTATTATTCGCAAGGAAAATTGTTATTTCATTTCATCTGATCACAGAGCCTTTGTGAAAAGTTTAAAGAAATGAATATATAAATAATTTAAAAAAATAAATGAAAATAATGACATTCCTTTTTTTTCACTTTTAATATATTTCTCCAATTTACTCAAATCTTTAGATTTAAATCTGGAGCTATGTTTTATACTATAAGCTAAGATCTAAGTGAGAATTTTTTTTTCTTTTATCCTAATTTAAAAAAGAATGTTTTGAATTTTTTTCAAAAAAAAAAAATTGATACATGAAAATATATTTAATTCTATTTCACTGTAAATTCGAAATTTTTTAAATATTTTCAAAACACAGATAGCCATGTTATTGAACTAAAAAAAAAAGTGTTTTTTTTTATTTGGGCAATTTAATTTTAAAATTATTAAATATTTTACAAATTGTTATAATTTTAGGACTGTTTAGCAAAACTAAAAGTAAATTTTTAAATGAGACTGTTTTTTTAAAAAAAAGTCTGTCAAACCCAGTCGTATACCTTAAAGTTCATCAACATTGCCACCATCATGCCGTCGGTCGAATATTGTGCAGTCTTTACCTTTTTAACCACTTTGTCCACAACGAGCCGCTGTGGGCATGGGGGAAACAATTGCGCCAAATATTTTTGATGAAAGATAATATTTAAATGCAGGATCATTGCCTTTAAAGAGAGCAACTGATTTCAGGTCATAAGAGTTTTAATTTTCCAGAAATAACTAAATTTATCAGTTTTATATTTTCTGCACAGGAAAATATGCCGATCTGTTCAACCGAAGCCCCGGCAATATTTTAAGTCTCACAGCTCAGGAAGTTTTAAAACTTGATTCAGTAGAGAAATGTGCAAGGGCTTGCCATAAATCCACTAGTTATCAATGCCTGTCTTTTGATTACTGCCCGCAATCGAAGGACGCACCATGCAAGCTGCACACAGTACATTATCCGAATTCTAAGACTAGAGAAAATATCCAAGTNTGTATTGTATCATCTGATTTCGGAGAAGACATCGCCAAAGACAATATGGAAGATAACAATTTATGCATCATTGTGACTCGTGAGTATTTTATCTTTTTTTCGACCAAATAATACTTAAATAGATTGAAAGTTTTTAACTTAAATTATTTTCTAGGAGTACAACCGATTCTTGACAATATTTTGGGGGCTGTTCTTTTTTAAGTGCTTTACACCTGAGGCAAACCTATAATTTTGAACTATACATACCACTTGGACCTTAAAACTGTCATATGACTTCATTAAACTTTCTAAAAAATTGACAATTGGGTATTCGCACTTCAAGAAGAAGAAGATCATAGATACCCACCCACACATGTAACATATGACGACAGGCGCCACTGATCGCTTACAAGCAAGATGGTGTATTAAAGTTAAGTTAGAATGTAAATTAACGCTAAGTGAATTAAATGCAGCGTCGTATCGGGCATAAAATTTGTTGAAATATTATTCTTTCTTGTCTACGTCTTTAACTTAACTGAGATTTATTGTCTGTTTATGTATTTTATTATAACCGTATTATATCGTTTTGCGTACCTGGCAACTTCTACATAGGTTCGTGCCCATCTTTGTGCTAAGTAAGAAATATAAAGTGAAAGAATTGAAATCTTTATGAAAGAATATAGAATGTGCAAATCAAACGAATTGATACTTGGCGGGCTTGGCTTATTCAAATTCGAATGGAAAGAACAATTGCTAACGTAAATAAATGCCGCGTTTCAACAACCAATCAGTATCGAGATACCCACCCTACGTCACTTGCAGGTATCCATTGGCGTGATTTTTTCCATCTAGATAAAACTTATCAAAATCAATGATTAATTCTCAATTTTTTGAAGCCTAGATAGTACAATGTTGGAGTAACTTTTAAAATATTTCGAAATTAGATAGAAAAGGTTTTTTTATTTTCACACAACTGTTGAGTTTCTTTCTGTTGGTGTTTTTGTTATAATTTTAGGACCCCTGTTTAGCAAAACTAAATGTAAATTTTAATTAAGACTAATTTTTAAAAAAGAAGTCTGTCAAACCCAGTCGTATACCTTTAAGTTCATCCAGCTTAAGACGATGAGATATTCAAGTTCTTCGAATATTGTTCAGTCTTTACCCTTTTAGCCCCTTTGCCCACTACGAGACACTGTGGGCATGGGGGAAACAATTGCGCCAAATATTTTTGATGAAAGATAATATTTAAATGCAGGATCATTGCCTTTAAAGAGAGAAACTGATTTCAGGTAATAAGAGGTTTAATTTTCCAGAAATAACTAAATTTATCAGTTTTATATTTTCTCCACAGGAAAATATGCCGATCTGTTCAACCGAAGCCCTGGCAATGTTTTAAGTCTCACAGCTCAGGAAGTTTTAAAACTTGATTCAGTAGAGAAATGCGCAAGGGCTTGCCATAAATCCACAAGTTATCAATGCCTGTCTTTTGATTACTGTCCTCAATCAAAGGACGCCCCATGCAAGCTGCACACAGTACATTACCCGAATTCTAAGACTAGAGAAAATATCCAAGTCAGAGACACCAACTGCGGCCACTACTTCAGTGAGTATAAATTATTCAAGAATTACTTCCAGATATTAGGCTTTCTTCAAGCTTGACTTTATTCTGACGTAAAATGTTATTTTAATTTTGTGAGTGATTGTATTGCTCGTATTAAAATAAGTACCTGAAAATCGGACCAAAGGTTCTGGTTTACTATTCCGATATTGAACTGCAAGAATAAGAGTAAGTGATTGTTTTTTTTTATTATCTCTATATTTTTTTATTTACTTTTAAGTATCTAAAAATCGAGACAAAGTTATTCTGGTTTAAGGTACCGATAATTAATTGCAGGATTTGGTTTGGTCTGTCTGAGAAAATTTTCAAAAAAGTGCCCGATTATTGAGGCAAACTTATACCAGTATAAGATGCAAATATTTAACTTAGAACTTGGGTCTATTCGGTCGAATTGAAAAAAAGGAAAGAAAAAAGCTTTAAAAGCGAGGTTAAATTATCCCATTCAAAATACAGATATTGATCTGTCGAAATTAGTAGATTTGAGAGTAATAAAATAATAATAATATAAATCCTCAACTTGAGTCAAGGAATTTCTAATTACTATACCGATATTTAACTGCAAGATAGTTCCGATTTCACTGACGCTGATATAATACTGGCGTTAATATGTGAATGTTCTTAATTTTTTTTCCCCTCAGGAAAATTCAGCACTGAATTCAGGAAGTACCCGAACAAGCGTTACTTAGGAAGTACCATTCCACCCATAACCAATGCCACTCTCGAAGAATGTTCGAAAGCATGCATGGAATACAAAAAAGGAACATGCTTTGGATACGATTTCTGCCAAGACGTGTCCATGCTGGCCACCAGCTGCCTCCTTTTGGACAGCGATCCAGCTAAGATGAAGGCCAGTTATTCCGAAGTCTGTACAAATTTCTTGAGAAGTAAGTGAGAGTTTTAATGCATTTATTTATCAAGGTGTGCTTCTTGCATGTTAATGAGGAGCTATATCACGGAAGAAACGATTTAGGTTAAATTCTGTTTTACCTACACTATAGTTTAAAATTTAAAGCACAGAGAGAAGTGGCAGAATTAGCAGAAAATTTTACAAGAGAGACCGAAAACTTCTTGTGCGCAGATTCGAATAATTATATTAATAATACAAATCAAAACAAAAAGATATTAAGGAGGTGAGATCATCGGCACTGTACTAAATCTAGATTTTTTCAAAAAACCTGATTTGGAAAAAAACAAACATTGTAATTGTTCTACTTTAGGATTGCCTTTTTCTAACACCTACCTTTTGGTTTTTTTTAAACAGTTTGTTGAGTTATATAGTTAGTGCATTTCAAATAAATAAAAAGAAAACAGCCATATCATTAAGAACTTATACCATTACTCAAAATTTTATCTAATTTATTTTTATTTTATAACCGTCGTTGAACAGTCTTGTAATTTTGAACCCAATCCAGATGGTATGGGAAATCCTGGATCAAGTATTGGGAGAAACTTGCCCTCATGGAGAACATTTTGAGGTAACTAACCCGTTACATGGAGAGGAAAACTCCGAAAACCTCCCAAGGTTATCCTGACGGCAAGGGGTATCTAATCTATATGATCCGTCTACTACTAAGGATATTTTACGTCAGCTCTGTGGTTGGTACGAGCCGAATGCGGAATTCGTATCGACCAACCATCGCTGGGATTCGAAACCGGGTCACCTCATTGGAAGGCTGACGCTCTATCCCCTGAGCCATCACGCCACATTGTATTATTTATTTTTAGTATTACATATATTGCCTGATTTCAAAATGAAAAGTAATCGCGGAAACAGAGGATAATAGAGTAATGAAACAAACGGTATGTTTACTGTGAAAATTATAAGCATTTTATTCAAAAAGTTTGGAAATTAGTTACAAAAGTGACCAACAGATAGCACTGTGCGATACGCTAAATTCTTGAAAAAAATACAAATGTCATGGGACTGTAACTTAATCTGTGACATTCCTGTAACAAAGACACATGGAGTTCAGTAGAACACACGATAAGGTTTAACTCGGTACTCCTCTCACGTTTCAATGCAAAAACTGATCATTTTGGTCATCGATGTCTTGCAGCGCTATCTGTTGGCAACTTTCATATTTTTTTTTTTTTAAATTACATTTTCTCAGTTTTTGCAAATACACGCACTGATTGTTTCCTTTCTTTATCATTTTTTGTTTGAAATCAGTCAATCTAACTGGAACCTGTATGCATAAATTTTGCTTCATAGCGTTATTGAGTTCTTTAAAAAATACTAAGTTTAGTAGAAAAACTACTAAAATGACTAATTATTATTTTTTTTTCCTTTTTCTTATTATTGAAGCACAAACCGTACTTTATACCTTTATTGCTATCTTGTTTGAATGGATTTAAAAAACATAATGCAAAAAATATATGCATCATAAAAATGTTTCTCATAAATGTAAAATTTTTTTTAAATATTTTATAGGTGAAGCTCAGTTCACCCCCAGGCCCTATTCAAATGGTAAATAATTTTTCAACATTTAAAGCATTATTTTTTTACTGATATATTAAATTTAATTACATATTATGTTCAAGAATATGCCATGTTCCGAATATATTATGTTCAGTAATGTTATTGAATTCATGAAGAAGTATAAAAGATGATAAAATATAAGTTTAAAAATAATAATGAGCAGTAATACTTATATACACATATTTATATTTTCTGTTGTTTCAGGTTATGCTGGCGGAATAGGTTTCTTGTGTTTCGTCGTTGGTCTTGTTGCGGGTGCTCTGGTTATATTTGCTATAGCCTATATCAGAGTCAAAAGACACTGAACTGAAACGATTTAAAGAAGAACAAGAGTTGAAATAGTTGGCTATTTCAAGTTTTTCAACCCAAAACTCTTGAACTGTACATAAAATGTTAACTAGTGGTTTATTTTTGCTTCATTGTGCATTTTTTTTATTTTCCCTTTTGATTTGTATAAAATATAAATAATTTCGTATTTTTTTCGATTTCTCTCTACCATTTTCTATGTAAACGGCATTGTAATGTCCATGAATTACGCATGCAAGCTTACTTATTTTACTCCTTGGCATTTCAACTGCTGAAGAATACACATACAAACATTTTTACAGTTTTGTTTAAAAAGTAACTGCAATATTCAAAAAACAATTTTTATTCCTTCCAAATTAAAAACGACCTTTTATCTGCAGAATAGAATATCGCTCAGTGTTCCACATTGAAAGTCTGTTTAGAACCTTGATAGCTTTAGCTGAGAAACGCAAGCTCGAAAGATCAGTAGGTTAGGGATTCTAATCTTGTCTCCGCTTAGGTTCGTTTTAAAAACTACCTAAACAGCACATAGTAAGATATTTTAAGTTCTGCCATTTGTTGAAATTTATTATTAAAATTTTTATTGATTCCATTATTATTTCTCAGAAAAATATTTTCATTTTCGAACTTTTTGTTCTTGAAAAAAAAGTTATTTTAACAGTCTGTCCTTATATTGGATATAGAAGAAGAATAAGCTTACGACTACCGGACAGGAATCAAGTATTGGAACATCTCGCTAGCGCTTTAAATTTCTAAATTCGGTCCTTTTCCGGCTGTGATCTACAGAGCTTTATGCAATGGATGATGTTCAATTAAGGATTGGTTAATCATTGCTTGACAAGAATCAAAAATATTGGAGAAACATCAGAAGAAGGCTTATTGAAGACTCCAACAAGCAGTTCGTCTTTGAATTCTTAATTCTGTTCGGAATACGCTGTTAAAGCTGTTTTTCGAAGTCTCCGTTGTCATATGAAATGATGCTTTTTTGCGAATAATATGCTACTTTTAAAACTGCTGTGAGTTTGCAACTGTTAAATCAAGTTTAGCTTATCTAAAGCCACCGCTCTTTTCGCTTATTTTGAAAATGGCGCAAAACATCAATATGGAGAAAAGCCACAGGCTTTTGAAAATTAAAAACATTTGTGGTTAAATTTTTTAACATTTAAAAACTTACTCCCATTCTGCATCACGTGGGCTCATTGAAAATGTGCAAAAACATAGAAGAAGGCAGCAATTTCGATTATTTTCATCTAGGTGGAAAAATGTCACCAAATTGGCAATTCTTAAAAAAGTTTAATAACTTTTAAAATATTTAAGTTATTTATCTGTATTTTAAGTTGTTTACCAGATAATTCTTCACGGCAATATTGTATATATAGTTTAAAATCATCGTTTTGCTTCAAGTTTAAGGCACTTAAACTATTGCTTTTTTATATTCCTTGGCGACAGAGCTTCGGAAAACAGCGTTAAAAAAATGGACACAACAAAAAATATGCCTTTTCAATGTTCAACCTAACTTTAACAACTTAGCAAAGAATTTTTTTTTACATACTTCTTTAAATGCTATGCATAATCATTATAGAGCAAAGTTCTGGACTTCGGAGTAGGGAAGACTAGGAGTAATACAGATGTAACTTTTTAGTAGTTATCTCTTCGTATTCGGTATACTAAACAATAAAAGTGCTTTTTAAAAAAATTAAATTTATACAACGTACATTATTTAATACCACTTTTATAAATTTATAGGAACCCTGATGACCTTGTAAAAAAACTGTTGACTTTTAATATCTTTTCAAAAAAGACTAATTTTTAAAAAAAATTACTAAGTTATCTAGGTAAATGGAAGATATCAAGCTACGAATTTACTAGTTTATTCTTTAACCTCTTCACTACCTTGGTCCATATACGTGGACCTTCCCTTCTCAGCTTAAGAAAATTTATAGTTTAAAGTTTTGTTATAGTTTTTAGTTAAATGTAGGGGAGAGTGGGGTCAATTGTAACAGGGTACGATTGTAACAGAGCAAAAATTTCGAGTGTCGGGTTCTAGATTTGGTTCCTAGGTGGCGCACAAGGTGTATTTAATAAATCTACATGTACACCCCTGATGGCAACCATTTTTATGTACTTTTGAAAGAGTTACATCACAAAAGATATTTTCAAGCCACGCAAGTACTTTTTTTGGTATTAGAATATTATATTGTAACAAAGTAATTTTGTTTAAACAAATAAAAATTAGTAACCGAATATGTAAGTGGACACCTTAATTAACATTTCAATAAAAAAAAAAATATTAGTTTTGTTAATTAACTAGCATTGTTTTTAACAAATGAAGCTGAAATGGCGTCTTGGGGACAATTGTAACAATAAGTAAAGGGACGATTGTAACAGCTGAAAATAAATAATCTTATGTTTACAAACCATTACTTAACTCTTTAAGAACCACCAATAGTTTCCTATATCATTTATATTATGTTGCATGTGCATTATTTTATTTGTCACCTTTCACAGCATAAATTAAAATTTTTAACCCCTTAAAGTTAAAAGTTTAACCCTTTAGGTCTCTGCTCATTATTATTTTTACTCCTAAAATATCACTACTATTTTGATCAATAAAAAAATATATCACAACTATGATAATATGTATAATTAACTATGTTTTAGTTGAATTTATGAACTGTTACAATTGACCCCGTAAGTGGGGACAATTGTAACAAGTGCACGACTGTCAAAAATTGTTAATAACTAATATAATAACATTTAAAATAAGGTATTTATTTTTTTTCTAGTAGAGGATAGTCTACTTTACTCGTCTGTCAATTAGTACTAATAATATATTGAATTTTTTGTTATTTAAAAATAGTTAAGTAAAAAATGTTACAATTGACCCCACTCTCCCCTATAGTTTAAGCTTTCTGGGGATTCCAAGAGAGGTGGAACATGTAAGTTATTTGGGTGGAATTCCACATAAAAACAGAAGTGATTTTCGAAAAAGGATACTAAACCCATGTGCTCGAAAACGTTAGTAATTTTAAATATTACATAATTTAGTTATTCTGAAAACAATTTTTTTCCTATGACTTAGTTCTATGATTAGTATGAAGCTTTTAAATTTATATTTACTTAATGTTTAAACATAATAGAGTCAAGAACATGTATGTGTGCCTCGGTATCTTATGAAGAAATTTATGGTAGCGTATTAGTCAAGAGATATCTCATAGTTATTACGATATCTATGTAAGATTATTTAGAGAGATTACATAGATTTATTAATATTTCCTTGTGTATTTTAATTAATTGGTTTATGTTAAGATGCATACATTTAATAACTTTAACTTTTTGTATTTTTTTTCTCCATAAAATTGGTTAGATTCTTTTCAATAATGATTTATTTTGCGTGGTTTAAATAATTTAAATAGTTTTGAAACTGAGATTTCATGCAGTAATGCATTGGTATTGCATCTCAGTGCAAAAAAGCTTCGCATTTTTTTTTGTAAAAAATTTCTAAATAATTATTAAATATATTCATCATTGTATTTAAATCGACTATAATTATGCATGTTTGTTCCTACTTTAGGTGCAGTTTAACATTTGAAATATTCATATTCTTTTACTCAGTTAAGATCCGAGGTTCACGCATGTGTATCCAAAATTATTAGTCAGCTATCAGTATAATTCGTAGTTTGTTTAACTTATTATGACTTATGGCAGTAAAATAGAAAGTCGGAACTGTAAAATATATGTATATTTTTTGCTATATTCCTTTATACTTCAGTAGTGAAGAGGTTAAAAAAAAAAGAACAATTTTCATAAGAAGAGTTTGATAAAATGAATCAATTGCGATGTCTACTTTCTTAAATAGTTAAGTCCATTTTCTGAAACATGCAGTTTGAACCAGGTACCGAATAAAAGATTTACGGACGAGTTGAGGATAAAATCCTCCGCTGTTGAAAGAATTGCAGGAAGAATAAATACCTGGTTTAGTTTCACTCAAAAAGTTCTGCACAAAGTTGTGTTTATCCTAATGATGGGTCCTTGAGCTTCCTTATCTTCTGGTTATGAATTCGAAATTAATTAAATATTGCTCATAAAACAACACAATGCCGGTCGTAAAATATAAACCATTAGGGAGAGAAGTTTGAAAAATGAATTTTTCTAATTTGGTTTAGGATGAGCCAATATTATAAATTGAACTAGAGACGATTATTTTTTCAAATATTTAGAAGACAACATCAAATATGTTTGTTGGCTTGCAGCTCTATTTAATTAAAAGTGTTTTTTTTTTATAACACGTTCTTTAATATTTATTTAGTTTGTATTCGCTATGTCTTGTAAGCTCAATGATCAACGTGGATTGCAAAAGAGGACTACGCTACTAAATTAGCATTCCTAATAGTTAAAAGCAGTCTGAAGTTGTAAATTAAAATCTCAGGAAAAAATGTATCGTATTTTATTTATAGTTATGCTTTTAAAGCGTGTTTCTATAAAACCAAATAATTGAAAATCAATTGTTACTTGATATTAAAAAAAAATTATGCTTAAAAAAGTAAAATTTTACTTATTTGTTTAAGGAAACCGTAAAAATTCACCATGCTATTACTGATGTCAATACTTGAAAGTTATAAGCTAATATTAAAATGAAATTAAAAAAAAAAAACATGAATGCATAACGGGACTTTATCAGAGGGCACCTTACGAGTATTTATGCTTGAGCTTCTCCGTGAATTGCTCCTTAAAAAACAGAAGTATAATTCGTGAAAAGCAGTATAATTTGTTTTGATTTACAAGCATTAAATCTGTATTTATATTTACTTTTATGCATTTTCCATCTGAAATTCTGGGTAAAAATTACACTTTTGTTTTGTCAAACAGCAATTAACAGAAAAGCTCCAACGTAAATGAACGGAGGGGACCCTTGATGAAGTCCTGTTATACATTCATGTTTCTTTTCACTTAATTTACTTTTACTTCATTTTCATTTATTTTTAACAACTCTTTTTTATTTCTTATTGGAAGACGCCAATAATGTTCAATCAATTTGGTAATAGATACTGCTGCTATTGTAGCAATTGGTACTATTTTAAATGACGC